CATCTTGCAAGTCATCTGTCGTGACATCTTAGAAGTCATTTGTTGGGACATCTTACAAGTCATTTGTTGAGACATCTTGCAAGTCATCTGTCGTGACATTTTGCAAGTCATCTGACATGACATCTTGCAAGCCATCTGTTGTGACATCTTGCAAGTCATCTGTTGTGACATCTTGCAAGTCATCTGTCGTGACATCTTACAAGTCATCTGACATGACATATTGCAAGTCATTTGTTGGGACATCTTACAAGTCATCTGTCGTGACATCTTGCAGGTCATCTGTCGTGACATCTTGCAAGTCATCTGTCGTGACATCTTGCAAGTCATCTGTCATGACATCTTGCAAGTCTTCTGTCGTGATATTAGTATCTTGTAAGTCATCTGTCGTGATATCTTGCAAGTCATCTGTCTTGACACCTTGCAAGTCATCTGTTGTGATATCTTGCAAGTCATCTGTCGTGACACCTTGCAAGTGATCTGTCGTGACATCTTGCAAGTCATCTGTCGTGACATCTTGCAAGTCATCTGTTGTGACAACTTGCAAGTCATCTGCTGTGACATCAACTGTATATGGTAAAAGTGTTTTATTTATAATATTTATTTTGTTTACGTATAATAGTATTGTAGTTTGTCTTAATTTTAAATATGCGTATACATATAGCCAATCGTGCTATTATCAGTGAGACATACTAAAATTAGAGCTGTCATAGCGATGTAATTGACTTTCATGTGTGATGATTGAAGTCTAAATGAAATAACAGTATGGAATGGTATGTATATCTCAATGCAGTAGTAGTTGGGAATGATACATCATCTTCAATCTGTGGATTTTATCTTTGAACTGAATTTAAAACAAATAGTACCTCAATATACCAGCTGCATTCCTTGTTGTCACCGTAGTTAGAAGGGTAGTTAGGAGTGCTAAATGATCCTGAAGTACCGGTCAGTTTACCACCACATCCTGCCAAGAACAAATACAATATAGCTTTGCAAAGCATGTTGGGATAATGACAAATGTCCCTCTCTAATAATCATGCATTACTATGTGTGTAACCAAGGTGATATGGAAGTTGATGCGTAACCATGGTTCTGGTGGTGACGTTTCTGTTGATTGGGTGACCATCTAAAATCACTATGGGTTATTCGATCATTATTTATTTGTTTCTATGGGTGAGGTAGTTATGGCATTGCTATGGGTAACTATGGTGATACCGACGTTATTATTGATACATCACATTGCCTCTCTCATCGCACATTTCATTTATTCTGTCACTCTTTGTCTTTTTCTCCACTAAAATCCTCGATTTCGTGAGATGAGATGCACTGTTACATTCTCGATAGTCCATGATAAAAGCGAGGGTGAAATTATCAACAAACAACCCATAAAATACTGATGTGATCAAGAGCAATGATCATACTGATTCATTGAATATGACATGGTGCTATTTTCGGCGACACCACAAACAACTAATCGTTAAAGCACGTGGTCTGTCCATCCGCAGAATTCCTTTTTTGGGGGGTCTCCGCTTTCATGGAGGCGCTGTACTTCTATTGTATCAATATTCAAATGTCCCGAAGGATTATGCACCTGCTTGAGTTATGACGTCATCACACGTGACCCCCGTGAATCCTCTTCGGGCATACACAAGTACAGTCTTGCCGACGT